TCCCCCGCCCATTGGTCACACCCGCCGTGTGCTAATTGTCCTGACCGGGAAATAACGGAAAAATCCGTCGATAATTCAGTGTGTATAAAATAGCTTAACAATTAGTACATTGTATGAAAAACGTCAGTCAGCATATGACAAATTGTATTTACAGACAAGGAATTTGTATCGACCATAGAACTTATGATGACTTAAACGAGACTGTTGATACTCTTGTTTCAGCAACTTGTTCGTCAATGACTTACCTCGTTTTAAAAATTGTTCATATGTAGAGCATGCTCTTGCGCATCGAATCAACTGAGAGATATAATTCCTGTATGCAGGTGATGAAGGTATATTGCTGTATAAGTAAGGAAAGTTGACGATTAAAAAGTTAAATTCATCTCGTTTGTCATAAAGCTTGGTTATTAGATTATCATTAACGTCTTTTTCAAGTAAAATATAATCTAAATATGAAACAGATGTGTCAAAATATGTGGTATCTTTTATTTCAAGATCATCGGGATATATCGTATTGACAGAAAAATGGAAATAATCATTGTTACTTGATAATACGTTGTCGATATATCTAAATGTCGAGTTGAAGTCCACAGCGAGTACTAGTATTTTCTTCTTTTCGCGTATAAGACTTTGTACAAATTCTGCTTCATATGAATACTAAATTGGTAATAAAAATCCAATAGATTGTTGGAAGACTTGGTCTCCAAAAACCACAAAGATATTGTCCATCAGAAACTCGAGCATCTTTTTTTTATTATAAATATTAACCTCAAAGTACTTTTACGAACAATCAGAATTTATTTTAACAAAATAATTTCGCAAATGGCCAAAGACAAGATAAACAAATTTACGAGTTCCATTTTTTATTGAAAAAAGTTGTCAATGATATCAATAAGTCTGGAATTAAATTTATACTAGGGAATAGTTGTATATAAAGTCTTGAGTTTTTATGTTGTTGATTTTGGTAAAATTTTATGATTTCAAATGTCCAAAAAGTTCTCTGGAATTTTTTTAATACCCGCATCCGATGAACCTCACTTCTCGAATATCTTCTTGCACAGTACTCCTGAAATTTCTCTTGCACTATTGTTAATATTTCAATGAGGAGTAAAGAAAGAGGCTTGGTAGAGCATTTATTGGAACCCGCTGTGTAAGTTTGTTTGTAAGAATTTTTATGTACAGAAATGGTTCAAAATCATTTTGGTTGTTTGGAATATTTAAAAATATTTAAAACTGACAAATGATTTTGAAGAATTTCTTCATTAGAAAGAGAGCTATGAATATAATTTGGATTACCATTTGTAGAATTAAAGCCGAGTTCTTCTAAAGTATATATATTTAATGTAATATCATATAATGAGCCTTACAAAAAAGACAATATCAGCAGGTACCAGTTCGTGCTGATCATGTAATCTATCTAATTCTTTTTCACTTCTGGATTATTGAATACAGAAGGATGGATAGATTTCATATTGCCTCTCAATCGCTTAATGCGCGATTTTAACATACATCTGATACATTTAATCCATTCAGACAAAGTGTCAACTGTAAGGTCTTCATTTTCATATTTCGCCCATCGCCTGGCGTAATCTTCTACAGAATCCATAAAATTAATGAAACCCCGACGCCATTTGAGGGATCGGGGGTCTCTATATTTAGGACCTTCTAAAATATGTGATCTACATGTAAGGTCCTCATTATTAACTTATTTACGTCACCAGAAATAACGTGTCCAGCAGGACTAAATTAAGTTATAAGGTGAAGAAGAACTCGAACACGGTGGAGGATTTGTAAAGTTTTCTGGTAATTAAAAAGTTGGAAGCAATAGTCAATGTATATTTTTATGAAATACAAGTTGTAGTTTTGAACTTGAAATATGGTGAAATACAAGATTATACCCTTTTGTATGGCACGCCAAATTCACAAAAATGAGATAAACCTAGTTTCACATTTGATAAACTAGGTTTATCGACTGTAAACTATAGTTTACAAACCGTAAACTATAGTTCACTATTCGTTAAGTATAGTTAACGATTCGTTAAGTATAGTTTTCATCTGTAAAACTATCTTTAACGGTTGTTAACTATAGTTTACGAATGATAATCTAAGTTTATCTGTCTGTAATAAGCGTTAACAATAGATTTTGTTGATAAACATAGACTCACGTTTGTAAACTATAGTTTACAATCGTAAACTATAGTTAAGAGTTGTTAATCATAGTTTCACAAATCGTGAAACTATATTTTTCAGATCATTAACTATAGTTAACGGTTTGTAAACTATAGCTTACAAATTGTGAAACTGTATTTATCAGATAATCTATGTTTTGCAATCGCAAATGATTGTTTTCAGTGTTAAGTATAGTTTATTGTTGTGAAACATAGATTATCGCGTTAACTATGGTTTAAGGATGTAAAATATAGATTAACGTTGTTAACTATAGTTTACAGTCCGTAAACTATAGTAAACCTAGTTTATCGACTGTGAAACTATGTTTAGCTCATTTTTGTGAATTTGGCGTGTCATACTTTTGTGGTTAAGAATATTATTTATATTGACTGCGGCAATTCAATTGTTGGCGTATTGAAGTTTAAGGGATTGTTTTACCAGGAAGCAGCATATTTTTTCAGTTTATTTAAGTAGTTTTAAAAGCCTATGATTTGCAGGCTGCATTTCATTTCCGGAATTTTATGTAATTATCAACTTTTCATTTCCGACATTTTTTGTATTCATTTCCGACAATTTTAAAGGAATAAATCATTTATAAATCATTGAATTCCATTTTCTGAGTTTTGTAAATCTATCAATGACTTGGACTTAAGTTTGGTGCTGTCACTGGCATTTAATCTGGTGCACATTAAATGTGGTGAAAACAGTTTTATGCTCAATGGACTCTTAAATTTACCTAGATTTAGTGCTGCATGTACATATATACATGTATGTATAGATGGATTTATAGATTTTTTATCAATGTTTTGCAATAGCAGATAGCAAGAATTAATAAATGCTTTTTCAATACTTTGATTTTAGAAACATCATTTATAATGTACAGTATATTGTTTTAATTTTTTCCTCATAATGTTCACTTCCGTTATAAAACTTTCGACGTCACAAACCGCGGCTCTTTTAATTCAGTACCAGCTCTAAATATTCACAATGAAATATAACAAAATTAACAATCATGGAGAGAGAAACTTAAAAAATGTATATATAAGCATTAAATTTTATTTTTGGATGCACTAAAGCGCGGTATTACAAACATTTTTTGTCTGACAACTTGTCATAAATTATGTCATATGTTCTTCAAAAACAGTTTGAAGTAAGGTTAGGTATTGGAACATCAAAATATTTTACTACATGTACTCGTATATAGTCGCAGCTTATTGTAGAATAATTTTACGATACGTCAAAAGGGGAAAAAAAAGAAGAATGAGTCTGAGATTGGTGGTTTACTTCTAAACCTATTTTAATAGAAATCATTTTTGAACTGCTAGTGTATCTTTCTTTGGAAGATAATTGACTAGAATGTTCAAAATATGAAATACCGTAATGTGATTTTGAAGAATTTCTTAACTTGAGTTCCAGATGTAGCATTCAAGTAAATTAAGTATGGATACAATAATAAAAAAAAAAGAACTTTTCTTTTCGAAATGTAGGACTTTCAACATTCTATGCAATAATTCCCCGAGAAAAGTTAATAAAAGGTTGTTAACGCCTCGGCTTTTATATTTCAAACAGCAATTATCCTGCAACATTCACGAAAACGCAGACTTTATTTCTTAAACTCAAGTTAAATTAAAGAAGAAAACATTTGCTGTTGCCTTTAAATTGCGACAATTAGATATATGCTCTACGTTCTAACATTTTCTAAAACTAGGCAAGCTATTGACAAACAAGTTGAAAGAAAGTCATCATTTATCGATACAATTATCTTGTCAGCAAATCGAAATTTAATCTACCATTAAATTGAATGTTGGCCGACCTTTATATACTAATTGTTTGATCATTTTATACAAGGGGCAAATGTAGGATGCGGCCGTTCGACAGGGGATAGGTACTCCTCCATGGCGCCTGATCCCATCTTTCATGTGTTTGAAAGTGTGTGTTTCACTGCTCCCATTTGTATTGTAGCAGTGTATTCTCCATGAACTTTATTACTTTTCGTTACAATACATTTGTCTTCATAAGACGTCAATTTAGGTAAGGAATCTTGCTAGGAAAAGGGCACATACAAACCATGCATGCACCAGTTCCTCCATTTTCGACATTTATTTTAGAATTAGGATGACTGCATTAAAAGAAATACATATTTTTTTCAGCTGACAGTGCTTTCAACAATATCGTCGTTTTAATGTATATTAATGTTCAGTTCTACATGTATAGCTGTTCAAAGTTTCTCCTTTATGCTGCTGTCAATATTTAAAAATTGACATGTGACTTTTCTATATTTTCCTCTTGAGAAAGGGGCTATCACTATAAGTTGGATCACCTCTTGTGGAATTAAATCCTTGTTCCTCTCTTTTTAAAAATGTTTTTTTTTTTACTAACAACGAGACCAATATTAAATTAGAAACTGAACCTCAATCCTTAAAACTGAAAGAGTTGCTAATGCACGTGAATTTTCGAATTTCTTTCTCTCTTTATTTTATTTATTTATTTTTGGTAGGGTTGGAATTCTTCTGATTGCGATAAATATTAAAGCAAAGCATGTTACAGATATATAAATTGATGTAAAAAAAAAAAAAAAGGTTTTCAACAATATTCTGACTTGTCAGCATTCTCCTAATTTTGATCATGACTTTCGTCAAAAGAAAACTAAAGGTACTTTTAAAATTTATTTCAAACCTTACAGCTCCATAAATTTTTATCTAATCCCCAAACCCCAATAATTAAAAAAAAAATAAATCGGCTAGAAACACAAAGAAACATTATTTTACTTCCCCTTCGATCTCTGTAGCATATTTGGATCGGGTTCGATCGTCGTAAAATATAACGCGCGAATGAGTTCACAGCCCACATCCGACTTGGAATGATGTCACTCCCACAATAAACAGGGAATTTTTCTATTGATATGGGGTGTTTTAGCAATGAGAGAACTTTAGTCAGCCCCTGTGTCAAGTACACACTCTTTTTCTTCAATTTTGCTTGTTGGGTAAGTACAAATATACTGACCATTCTGATTCTATATTCCAGAATTAAATTTTGCCCGAAGGGTACAATCCATAACATTATCCATTACATCTGAAATGTGTGTGTATCGTTTTAGACAAGAATGCTGTTATCATTAAAACTGGTATAATTTGATGTCTAAAAATGACAATTTGGAAGAACAGACGTATTTTGATATTAATTCACATATATATCATACATACCAGACCTAATAATTTTACATTTGAAACATAAAAAAAATCTATAAAAAAAAAAAATTTAAGGGAAAGCAGTGATGTTGTATGTGAAATAAATCATGTAAACTATCATTTTTCAAACATGGTACTAATGGCATCAAGGCACTGTATTTAACGTATTAATTTCTACAATCATATGATAAAAGCTAATTTATTTATTAATGAAGTCATAATTAATACCTAGATGTGTCTTCTGTATCAAAAATATTTTGTTGTTGGTACAGTTCAGTTTGCTATTTTATCTTCAAAAGGATATTATCAATGTAAAATAGAAACTCTTCTTTTTATAAGTTTATAATTTAAAGTGCTTTCAAGTGGTGCACTTAAAGTGTAGCTCAAAAAGATGAAAAATATATATCCTATTGACTATAAATGATATATGAACTTCCTGTTATAAGCATCTCTTCTTAAACACATTTTGATAGAAATAATTCACAGGTAATGCAAAAACATTATTGTACATAAATATTCATATAAGGAAATGTAATGAATGATTTCCCACATATTTATGGTACAAAATATTTTATTTTATATGGGGAAAATTTACTCTGAAATGTTTCATTGTTAATTGATTTGTATATAAAAGATTTAAATGACTATATTTCACATTCAATTAAAGTACAGTAATTGTCAGAATTTTTCACAACAAAAATGGCAACAACAACAACAACAAAATATAGTGTATGAACAGTTGAAAAAATGGGGAGCCAGCAAACCTCTAGTCAACAATTACTTAACAAGTCACAAGCAAACATTTTTATCTGTAGGCATTTTATTAAACAGAATCTCTCTTAAGTGGAGGGTCGTAAATTCACTATTTGTCAATAAATGTAGTTGTGGTTGAATTGTCAAAGGCTGAAAAACCAAATCTTTGATTTTCCCATTGGACCAGGTGACTTGTATCTTTCCATTTATGAGCAAACAAAAAAAAAAAAAAAAAAAAAAAAACTCCTGTAGGTAAAGCAAATATAAACATACTCTGACATCTTTCTAAGTATAAACATCCTGTTGTCTGTGGTATTTTTAATGATGGATTATTTTCCTGTTTGTACAAAAAAAGAATTTTAATATATCATAGTTTTATTCACTCTGTCAACAGATAAACAAGCCAAATTTTTATTATCAGAATGATATGCTTTGTTGGATAGATTAGTGTGTTCTTGTCTTCTTTAATAATCCATAAGCATCATGAGCATGAAATAAAATCTTTAAACAAAAAATAAAATTTTGATTTATTTACACTCCTACAATCAGTATAACACTGAAATAAGGGCTATTTTGTTACATCAGACTGGGTTTCTTATTGCTTGTGCCATTTACACAGCTAGGATATATATTTGGGAAAAATTGCTGTGCATGCAAAAAAATTCTTGTCTTCATAAAAGATAGATGATCTGATCTGGCCTTGTGATGTTTTTAATATCTATAGAATGTTCAACATGTAGATGGAATGGAATGTGGAGACTGAGACTATATGCATGCGATAACACAGCTCATTCATGAAAGGTCATATAGCAATAAGTACATCATACTACATGCACTCAATGTACCATACATGCAAGGTTCTCATACACACAGCATAAAAAAAAATTTTAAGTACTTCATGTACTAGCTGTGTTAGTAAATTTTCATACAGCATAATTGAACTGTTGAACTAGACTGAACTCTTCGATTTTAATTAAAAGACATTGTTTTTATTTATATGTTTGTGGTTCCTGTGGTTGACATAACAGTATAGAATGCATATTCATCATGCCCCAGCGGTAAATGACCAGTGATAGTTACATGATATTGTATCTCTCTGTAGGATATTGATTGAGTCAGGCTGATATGACATCAGAGGCAGACAAACACTTCATATACAGATCCATTCAATTAAGGGGTCCTTTCCCTCCCGTTATAGGGTCTCATCCTTTATAAAAACAAGTGCTATTTTGTTTTACGTACTGCACTGTGATATTTAAGTACTATGCACTGATACCTTGATCTTAATTAAAGCTGGAGGAAAAATTTAGTTTTATGTATACAGCATTAATACATTATAATTACGATAAATATTCAATTGACAATGTATAACAGGAATTTTAACACTTTTTGAACTTTAAACAGCTGATTCTTAGTACATGTATTTCATTCTTTCCCTATTTAACTAATAAAATATATTGCATACACTTGTGTATTACTAAACTTGAGTCAAAACTCATAAGTATTGATTGAGAAATAAAATGTAGGTTTGTTCCAATATCCTGAAGAAACAAATATATGACCTTGAAATCTTGTACATGTATGTATACCAGTTTATGTTTATTTATGAGCTATAACATTCCACCATACATTTTATAAATTCTTTCTCATTAATTTTTCTCTTTGTTGATTATTTTGATTATCATTCTCATTTTTTGAGGGGGGTGGTGGGGTGGTGATTCCTTCATTCCTTTGTCTTTCACAGTAAGATGAATAATACTGTAAAATCACATATTCAAGTGGGGTCAAATTTTCATAGTTTGAGTAAAAACTCTTGGTTTGCAGGGATTTGAATTCGTGGATGAAGAATTGTTGAGTAGTTATGTATGTAACATTTTACATTTTGTTGTGGACATGAATTAGTGGGTCTCTTCATTCCTCGATAACAACGAAAATTACCCCCCCCCCCCCCCCCCTTCATGAAAATTTGTGATTTCACAGTAAACTTTCCCACTTACTATCAATAAAAAAACAAAATTTTCAATTATTGATAATTTGAAATCTTAAAAATCTGAAATGCAAATCCAGGACATATGAAATAACTTTTTCTCTCATGATTACAGATGATTGAACCACTAACTTGACTAAGATAGTACCGGTACTTCCTGTCAGACAGGCAGATTTTTAATGAAAAAAATCTTACAAAATGTCATTTTCCAGAGCTCTCCTTCTGTTGAAATGATTAAAAGTTTTTGAATACAGTAAAATTCATATAGCTGGGGATCCAAGATAACTTCACTATAGATGAATTCACAATAAGCGTGTTCATACTAAACAAGTTTTGTAGTTGTACATTATAATGGCATGAACATGTAGCTATAGGACCACAAGATTTTGTTATAAGATATCTGTAATTTGACCCCTGTTATTTTAATCATCAATTATCCTTTATTTCAATTAAAGAAAAAAAAAGTTATTGAAACTGTGTAGTAGCTTTATATATAAATTTGATTGTGAATTCATTCAATTTTTTTTGTACCATAAAATGACATTACGGTAATATCCTTTTGGAAGGAAACCCTACTTAACACATGTAAATTTAATGTTTATAGTCATTATCAGTGAAGCATTTCTATTAAAATTTCCAAAAATAAACCTCATGCAGTCAAAGTTGTGTTTGCTCAGGGTTACTGAGCAGTAATATCAGTGGCATCATTCAGATCTATAGTAATTAACTACCTATAGTTTGTTTGTTCACAGCAGTTAAAAAAAATTTCCACTCGGTAAATGTTTTCATACACTTTGAGTATATCAGTGCATGGTGGCTTTATGGAGAGGAAATGAATGATAAAAAATAAATACATTCAAAGAAATGAATGATAAAAAATAATCAAGAAGTGCCCCTTGTTGCCTCAAAGAAGCAACTACGCTTATCATTTTCAAGCTGCCAAACAATGTATACCCCTTCTGGTGGGTTAAATAAAACCCCATAACTGCAGTTTTGTTCAGCTTGCAGGAAAAGAGGAAAAATTTTATTTTACTTAAAACTGGATAACTAAATATTGACTTCTTGGGACCTATAAAAGAATCACTTAGTTTATGCACATAATTACTTAAAAGCTGGCCAGGAGGGACACTTGTCCTTGCCCCTTGCCCCCCCCCCCCCCCACCAACTTTTTCCAGTGTTCACTTGGAAGCCCTAAAATATCAGTAGACAGTTTGAATGATGATCTTTTTCCTAGTTTAACAGTGTCATTCTATAAATTTATGTTTTTAAGATCATGATTCATTGCATCATATCTCGATTGTATTTTATGATATCATAAACTACATGTAATAATATTAGACTGTTTTTAGACATCACAATTCAATGTGTTTTCCTTTCAGTTTGTGTCTGAGAGCAACCAGATAACTTTTTCAGTATCCTTATTTTATTAGCTATTCCTAAATATGAGCAGTGTCGAGTCCTTTTCCCCAATATTTATGTCAAAGCATTTTGTAAACCATTTATCTCTTCATTTAACTTTCCTTCATATATATGTGTTATTATTTTTTCAGTTATTTGGTGGAGTTCTTATAGGCATCGGTGTGTGGGCATTTATTGAGAAGAACAAATATTACCAGAAGGACATTTCTACTGTGTACGATGTCATCTTCGACATTTCAATCATCTTCCTCATCATTGGAATTATCATCTTCATCTTGGGCTATGCAGGATGTATAGGGGCACTCAGGGAAAACATCTGTCTTCTTAAAATTGTAAGTATAATGATATCATAGACTTACAAACGATGTGTTTGCCAGCATGGTTTAAGGAATAACTGTCTTATTTTTCGATTTCATGATGTGATCAATTGATTGGCTCACCAAAGGCGTTTATGCATAAAAGTATCATGCAAGCCAATTGATTGATCATCGTCATGAAAACAAAAAATTTGACAGTTATTCCTTATATTTACATGCTCTTGATTTCACCAATCCACGTCAATAAGCCCTGCTTCTTTCTAGCTTTTTGTCATGCCCTGCAGATGATTTTTTTTAATCTCACCTATTGATGAATCAGTACATTTATGTAGAAATAAATTACATTAACTTAAACTATTTGTAATTTTATCTCGGAGAGAGACATTGGAAATGTAAATATACAGTGGGTAAAGCATCTGCTTCAGAGTGGCAAAGTAAAGATTTGATTCTTATGTTGGAGTTCAAATACCGGTCTTGGAAGTGCAGACCGGTCCTTATAAGAGACCCTATAAAATGAGGTTCAATGTTGCAGTAGGTGCTGGCTTAAAAAAGACCCCTTACTGTCGATGGCTGTAAGTGCCAAGTATAGGACAAAATTTAATTGTGTATACTTGTATCCAAGTGCCTAGCAAATATTTGCATACAAGTAAAACGTAAAGAGATTTCTTATTTGTATGTTACATGTATCTAAAGAAATATACATTGACTCCCAAGAACAAAAGTGATATTCTACAATATTTAATTCTCAATGATTTCTTTTTCAGTATTATTATTCTATGATCCTCATTTTCCTGGTCCTAGTAGTGGGCATCGTCTTAGCATTTGTCTTCAGGGACATTGTCAAGGAAGAAGTGACCAAGATTTTGCAGGATAATCTAATCACCACATACCAGGATGACCCTGATAAACAGAGTACCATTGATTGGATACAAGAAAATGTGAGTTGGTTTCAGTTTATAGGTTAGATTTTGGTCAATGATTATTTTGAAACATGTGAGGCCATCTATAAAACATACCCCAGTAAATGGTTACTTGTCCTTTCCTGACTTTCAAAAATTGGATGTACATTGTACATGGGGAAATGTTTTCAAAAACTTGTGAATATATAATTAAAGCTAGTTGTCAATGACAATTTTGAAAAATTAAATTGAATTTTTTTTTAAATCAAGTTCAAATCATACTAACAGATGTGAAGATTGTATATATAAGCCAAGGTCCTATGTCCCAGTACATGTAGTTGCTGGCACAAAAAGGATGTCAAAGGCCCCAATTGACAAGTACAGTGTAAATTTGCAGCCCTCCGCCAGCAAGTGGTGGCATCTCAATATAGATGCAAAATTCTAAAAATGCAGCCTTGGTATTTTTTTTTTTGTTTGAGTTTTATGCAATATTATTTTTAAGTGTCTGAAGTGTATATAATTGTCTTTATAAGAGGATTTTGAGAGCTATTTTTTTTTGCAAACACTTAAGTTTAATTTAAACTCCTTTTCTGTTTCTTTTTTATGCACTAAAACAACATATCATTATGAAATAAAATATTGGCTTTTCATTTTCCTAAGTAAGTGCTTTGATAAAATCAGCTACACATAAATTATCTTCACAAAGTGTTATCCTTCATGTATAGTGCAAAAATTGTAAAACAGTACCTGCTTTCAGTGACCTATAGAGTCAGTATAGCTTTCATGAGAGATCTAAACCCACTATGAAGGAAACATGGGTCAAATTTTGTGGCAAAAAATATTCTATTGTCAACTTTATAGAGTCAAAAAAATTCATCCTTGTGGCAAAAGGATCCACAGTCACAAATAAGGTATAAACATGTATTAGTTGAGTTTGTATGAGTTTAACACTTAATGCTAGATGTAGAAACATTCTAATGAAGGGAAAAATAGAAAACAGAAGCTAAAAGGTGTCCATGCAGTTACATGTAGTTTATGCTAAAATCTGATAAGAAACAAGGTTTTTGAACATTTGAGTAGTATTGCTGCCTGTCATCAACCAAATGTGTGATACAGTTATTTGAACTACAAAGTGCATGAGGACACATAATTTCCTTCTTTTTGTTTTTTTTTTAAACATAAGTGGATCAGTAAATGTGGATCTAAAATGGGAAAATCTAATAACAATCTATCATGTCTATTTTAGTTTGTGATGTCACAGGTTATATGTTTTAAAACTAGTGTACTAAGTGTAGTATGTTGAATTGGTAAAAAATCTATGATTCAAAGTCTTTGGTAATATATTTATAATAAAATTGTGTTGAAAAATTGATAAACAATTCTGAAATTCCAGTCCTAACTTTAAAATAAAAGAAGTATTTATTAGATATTTTTTTTGTTTCAGATTGAATGCTGTGGTGTAACCAGTTACAAAGACTGGACCAAGAATGAGTATTACAACTGTACAACAGACAATCCCAGTCCTCTGGCCTGTTCTGTGCCATACTCATGTTGTAGAGTACAGGACTCAATATCAGTGAGTATTACAACTGTAATGGAATAACCCAAGTCAGCTGGCCTGTTCTGTGCCATACTTATGTTGTAGAATGCAGAACTCAATTTCAATGAGTTTTTTTTTGTAATCAGTGATTGAATTTTACATGCATTGAGCATGTTTTCGGATATTTTCATTATCTAATTTGAAAATACTTTATGGTTTGGTAAAAAAGGTTGCAGTTTTGGTAAGTGGTTTCATTGGATGAGCAGAAAATGTCAGCTGTCTTGTATTAAGACAAAGAGCAGTGCGCTATTCCTAAGTCAGACTTGTAAGAGACAAAGAAAAGTGTTTTGAAGGTGTACACACAATAGTACATAGGGCTAATTAAATTCCATGACTTATAATGCAAGCCTTACCGTGTGAGCTGGCCCTTAGACCACTTTCATCTCCTTTAAAATTGATTCTTACAATATTATAAATACCGAGATGGAAGTAGCAGTTTGCATGTTCATTTAGCATGTATTATAATGATAAATGTATTCAGTTATCCTAAATATTTAAAGACTAAAACCAACATTATGGGAGTAATATATGAAGCAGTATTTGGGAAAGAGTCAAAACTACTTGCTCCTTAGATTGCAAAACTTCTTTGCAAACAAAAGAAATCAGATTTATAGATTTTTTATAGAGAGCAGTTTTATACCATAATTAAGACAAGATGAGAGACATCTCTATTTTTTTTCCAGAGTGGTCTTCCAAACATTCTTTGTGGAAAAGAAGTCCTAAAAGCAGTAAGTATATAAAAGAAAAGGGGTGAGGTCTCTTTCAAGATCATATGTGCTTTACGTCACAAAAGTAGAATATAACTGTTTTAGCTCACCTGAGCTGAAAGCTCAAGTGAGCTTTTGTGATCACCCGACGTCCGTCGTCCGTCCGTCTGTCTGTAAACTTTTGACATTTTCAACTACTTCTCAAGAACTGCTAGGCCAATTTTAGCCAAACTTGTTACAAAGCATCCTAGGTTGAAAGGGAGTTTAAATTATTAAAATGAAGGGCCAATTCCCTTTACAAAGGGAGATAATCAAGAAAAGACAAAACTAGGGTGGGGTCATTTAAAAATCTTGTTCTCAATAACCACTGGGCCAGGAAAGCTGAAACTTACATGGAAGCATCCTGGGGTAGTGTCGATTCTAAATTGTTAAAATCATGACACACGGGGGTAAGGTGGGGCCACAATAGGGAATACAAGTTTTACATAGAAATACATTGGAAAAATTTGGGCCACAATAGGGAATCCAAGTTTTACATAGAAATACAGTATATAGGAAAAATATTTAAAATCTTCTTCTCAAGAACCACTAGGCCTAGAAAAGCTAAAACTTATGTGGAAGCATCCTGGGGTAGTGTAAATTATAAAGTATTAAAATTATGACAGGGGAGGGGGTAAGGGTCACAATAGGTGTAACAAGAGGGGAAATCTGGTAAAGAGTTGCATCACCAAAGTTACTCAGGTGAGGGATGAGGCCCATGAGCATCTTGTTCAAGTTAATTCAGAATCTGTTTATGTGAGAAAAAATGTTGTATATGCAAGTGGAATAAATTAATTGTTTGTGCATTGTTTTTTAGGGAGGGGATTTGTCCTTGATTTACACAATAGGCTGTGTAGATATGTTTCTAAACTTGGCAGAGACACAGCTCCCCATTGTAGGGGGAATCGTCATAGGCATTGCTGTCCCCCTGGTAAGTTAATACTATCAATATCTTAATACATGATATTTAGATGGTAATAATGCATTTATTAGGTATTAGAGATATTAAAAAAAAAGATATTATGACAAAATAAATTCTTCCAATTGTACTGTGAAATCATTCTCATTCCTTGTGGTCAATGTATGTGCATGGACAAGCAAACTTTTGCTGGTTCATGGTGACTTCATTTATTATTTACAAAAGTTCATGGAGATTTATTAAATTCCTGGGCAATGGTGACATGTGAAATCCACAAATCCACAAACATGGTTCCCCCCAAAAATGATGCTTCCACTGAAGACGTGTACTGCAAACTCCAGAGACTAATATGTTTATGGTTTGTTGTTGTAGCTGGTTGCTATTTGCCTGTCAAGGTTGTTAGAGGGACAGATTCTGGACCAGAGGAGCAACTGGAGATGAAGTGATGAGGTGGCCTAATCCAAAAGGAATACTGACAGGTCAACAAAAGTAGAAGAAAAGTGAAATCTCATAGTCGTTGTTATGCATAATGATACCCACATCTTACCCCTCCATAACCATCAGCTTAGCTGACAGTATATATTCAGTGTCATGTATTAACAGAAGACTTAATAATACATGTACCGTTATATGCAGAGAATCATGAATCATGACGTTAACATAAGGAACATAAATCTGGGTCATAGATTATGGAGCTTGTTTTTTGTTTTCCTAATTATGATAGACATGTTCATATTCTAGTTTTGTTTTCAGAGCTAAAATGTTAATTTGTGTGTAGATTTATAAATTGCCATAGAAGAAAGAAATCTCAGAACTGCTGTCAGATCTCTTAACCATAACAGCTTTCACTTTGATTTCATATGTATATTCCAGATTTTATTATGTATATTTAAAATATTCATACAGTATGTAAAGAACTTGCAAGAATTATACAATACTTTATGCCTATCAATTACCTTAACTTTTGAAACATCTGAGATTTTGCATCAAATTTTTCAATATTATGTTTAGGGTGAAAGGTAAAAGGTCATATTGGAACTATTGTACTTGCTTTATAGAAATTTGAAATCAACTTGGGCATTTACGTATCTCAAACATATCTTTATTTGTTAGAATCTCCATTTTCATGTGCTTTACTATATTGAAGACTGTAAAATCACATATTTTCATGGGGTCAAAATTTCTTGGTTTCCATATCCTCGAAAAGAACAAAAATTAACCCCCCATGAAAATTTGTGATTTCACAGTATATACATGTATATAATGAAGTGTTAACTCAATTTATAATGCATATTTCAACCGTAAAAGGGGGGATGTTCTGTCATACTAAACATATTCTTGCCGAAGGAATTAATGTTATACATGTATAAGTAACATATATAGCAAAGGTCACTCTTCTGAAAGTATATTTATTCATTTTTAATTTGCTTGGTTTGAATCATTTTAAATTTTTCATAGTTGGATGCATTTTTTTTCTCTATTAAAAATTATAAATATATGTACAATACAGCTACACTTTGTTACTGTAGATTTACTATAATTATATTATAGCTAATTCTATAAGTTTTTCAAGACCACGTCTTTAGATATTTTTTTTTAAAGTATAAGTAGCTTAAAATGGGGGTTGTTTTATATAATGTTATATAAATATTTTCCGTAGCTTTTGAGGGATTAGCTAAATAGGTCATAATAATTATGTAATGCAGCTTGAGAAATCTTCACATCGAGTTTGAATAGCAATTTGATTGTTTGTGCCTTAATTTTGTTTGCATTTATTTATTTCATTCTGGGAACTTTTAAGAAAGAAAACTTGCAATCACTTAATTCAATGAATTAGTGTTTTCATTACATTTTGTACATATTTTAACCAAATCAAGTCAGTTGTCATGGTAACAGTACAGTTGAGCCTTGTTAAATCAGATCCTTCTGTTCCCAAATAATTGTCCACATTAATGAAGAATAACTTTAATAATTGTTAGTAGTATTATATCTGAACTTTAAATCTGCTCCCCACAATTTGTTGTTGTTGTTTTTCTTTTTGGAAAATAAAATTGAGGCTCAGTTGTACATGGAATTGGGTTTTCTTTCAAAATCTTATTAACGAGAACAAGAAATTATTCTTTGAAAATTCCTTTCTCTAGTCATTATTTTTCAGATTTTAAAGTTTTTTGATGTTTGTACATCTATGTCCATGTAGCTTAACAATTTAAAAGTAAGACTATACTGTACATTTAAGAGTTCTCAGTATAAATACAGTACAAGCAATATTTCTTTAGTTTAGAATGTACTGAATTTATATTTATATATATTTTTTGCATCATGTATCATAAGGTTTAGACTACTAGACATTCCTTTTTTCTTCACCACAGTCTTTTAGGTAATTTTTTTTGTACTTCGTAGTTCTGTCTTTGCTTCTGCTCATCTTCAGTGAAAAGTATTTTTTTATTGTGCATGTATATTTGTTCACATATATAGTATAAGATTTTTTATGTATTACATATTTGAACATTGCAGGTGAATTGCGAGATGGTTTTGAATTCTCTGATACAGATTTATCAGTTGCAGGTTATAGCTATTTTTTCATTATTGATAAGATGTTAAACTCTCTCTATACGCAAATTATATTTTCACAAATTATATATTTTTGTTATGGAAAATGGCAGGTTCTCTATACTTAATTCTTTTTTGTCGTAGTCAGTAAAAAGCTGTATTTTTTAATCACAGATGTTTTTTGCTCATTTCTTTGTTTTGTTTAGAATATACTGCAGGTCAGAATTTATATGTTTATATGTAAAGAAATTCAATATTTACGTTGTGCAATATATCCATATTACACATAATACCCAGGATTACACATGTAATTGCAATTGTACATTGCCATCTTAATCATGAAAATATATGCAATTTATACATAAAAACCACTCAGGAGAACTATGGAAAAAATTTGGAGCTGTTTGTGTAAAATACTTGGGGAATATATACACTCTACATTGTACTAAATCAAAAATTTAAAGAACTATTTGCAATCTGTACGTTTTGCATTCATCTTTGTCTCATAATTAAAAAAAATGTAAATTCATTATTCTTTCAACAAGATGTCATGAAAATTGAATGTTGATAGCTATAAACATCCTTTTTTTTTTAAGGACAACAAATATACATATTTCATTTGACTGTCCGAATTACTCAATGTGTTTAAAATATCTGATAAAAGGGGCTATACACGCTGTCTATAACCTTTTGGCCCAATTTCTCAGTATATTTTTTTCCTTTCTGTTTTAAATTTAGGATATTGACAGGGCAGCTGGATTTGCTGCTATACTAAAGAGTAAAGAACTCATGGAATATCTCATTGTAAGAAACCCATGGCCAATCTTGCATACGTTTATCAATAAGCATATGCGAGATTGGGAATATCTCTCACAAATATATTTTTGAACTTGAATATCTCAAAAATTGATATATGGATTGAAATATATACCCAAGTCTGCTAAATAAATGTAAGTTGTGAACTACTGTTTGCAAAATCTCCTAGTACCCAACTTTATCAAGTAAATTAAGAGCTTCATTGCAGTTTTGAATAAAAGATTAATAAGGATATTTGTTTGTTGAACATTTTCAAATGTACATGCTTTTTTGATTATGTGCCCTAAAATCTGGGATAGAATATGCAGCCAAAATTAAAACATTGATCTGTAATATTTTTTTACTATGTTTTTCTCTTGAGACCAAGTTTCTATTCAAGAAGAAATATATTAATATTAATTTATTTATTTTTGTTGTTGAAATTTTTTTTCATGTTCATGTTCATGTGTGCATGTCATTGTGGTATAAGAAACCAGGAATTATGATTTGTTAATCAATGACATGTTTATTTATAATACATTTTTTTTCAAACTACAGCATAAAAGATTTATTATAACAGTGTTTAATAAATAATAATCTCCTCATTTTCTTTTAATTAGTCTTTTCTCTGGTTTTATACATAGATATTATTTGGGATAAAACATTGCCACAAAGCATCTTCACAGTTGTTTAATTTTTTTAGGGGAAGATAAATATCTATGAGTATTAAAAGATGAAAAAATTGGTTTTCTTTATTTAAAAAAACAAGATGTGTTTGTGAAACACTAGCTGCAATAATGTAGCCCTCTCCGACTTCTTTCCCCAGAAAAAAAAAACAGATAAAAAAATCGGAGAGGGCTACATTATTGCAGCTATGAAACACTGATCAAAAGGTCAAAGTTTTTGATATTCAATGAAAGGTCTTGTCAAAAAGAATGCATTTGTGAAGTATGAAAGTCCTAGTATCTACGATTCAAAATTATGGCCAAAGTAAATGTTTGGAATTTTTGTGTAAAAGTGTGTCAAACTCAAAGGTCAAATTTGGTGGTACCCAAAGAAAGGTCTTGTCACAAGAAATACACATGTGAAATATGAAAGTCATAGCTCCACTAAATCAAAAATTTTGGGCAAGGTTCAAGTTTTTGCAGACAGACAGATAAACAGCTAGACAGACGGACGAACACGACAGAAACTACATACCCCCGAATCTTCGATTGCGGGAGCATAAACAAATTTTTATTTAATTTCGATAAGAAGGACAGAAGAGATAAAACTTGCATTAAAGTTTCCTGAAGATGTGTAAATATGAGTTTGTGTAAATCAGTCGAGCCCCCCCCCCCCTCCTCCTTTCCAAAAGACTGGGCCACAACAAGGTATGAAAGTTCAAAGTTTGCGAAATTTATTCAAAGATTTATATATCCTATGTATAAAATAGTTTCCAGATGATAAGTTCACTTATCTGAGCCTTAAATTTTGACACTGAAGGTGACTTTTTTTTTCCTAGCTTAACCTGTGAACCCTTTTGTTTTTTAACTCAAAAGGTTAAGGTCAGAAAATTCAACAATTGTAAACAATTTTCCAGAAATTTTTTTTTCTTTTAATTTTCAATTATTTTGCAACGAAATTAGTTTGATGGGTGTGTTTGTCTCACAAATAAATTTTCTTATCTCCAACACAGAAGAGATAATTGCTTTAATTCCAATAGTTTTAGGATGCGACTACATTAGGAGATCAGATCAGGGTCAGAAATGTATTTATACAGTATGTATTGCAAAAAAATATTTCAAAAATTTCAGTTCTTTAATTATTTGCATGGAAACTAAATTTACTCTAGTTTATGAATCCCCTATTAATTGATTTTTTAGCACAAAATTCATAATACACTTCAGTTTCTGAGTAATACCTCTAAATTAAATGTCCTTTGGGCTTTGCAAGGAAATCTCATATTTTAGCTTCAAGCTTTAGAACGTCTATGTCAAAAGGTCAAAGATCAGTGTAAGAATAATTTCCTTTGTTGCATAAAATGGTTATAAAATAACCTTTCTTCTCCGGGATTTTGCAATGAAACTTTTAAAGATGATGACTCGATCTCTCTTTATTAAGAAGGATTTGTATGATTTTTATAGGCTATAGATAAAATGTCCAGATGGCAAGAAATGGTTTCCAGATTCACTTTTGTGCTATTCATGACTTTAAATCATGATACCTATTGGTTTTCAGATGAAATGGTCAAAGGTCAATGCCAAAAACTTGTTATACTGTTAGATTCCTTTTTAAAAAGGATAGGTTTAAATTCTCTGATTTAGCTTTTTATTTAATTTATCAGAAGCATGATATATGTTTGTCATTCTGTTCGTGTGTACATGTATCAACATATATAGTTTCTGGATGGTATCCCAAAAATTCCTTTCTCTTTTCAATGAAGTACAATACATCTATGGCACGCCAAATTCACAAAAAATGAGATAAACCTAGTTTCACATTTGATATATTTATATGTAAACTATAGTTTGCAAACCGTAAACTATAGTTAACGATTCGTTAAGTATAGTTTTCATCTGTAAAACTATATTTACAGCGAATAACGAAATAGCGGTAAAGTTTTCAATAGCTTGCTGGACAGCTCAATAGGGTATTCAATTTGGTCTAACAAGTATAACCTTAGGTTTGGGTCTAGGTCACAAGGTTACTCAGGTGTATCATTAGATTTTACAGGTAATTGTGAGTTGATTTCAATGTTGTATGAAGCCACTTGCATGTGCCAATGTGTTCTGCTGTGAATAAATGCATTATTCTTCTTTAATTGCAATTTTTTCATATAATAATAATCTTATTGAATTTATTAATCATCATCTCAAACCAAGCAAATTTCTTTATTCAGTAACTCTCTGAAAATCTGTTTAAATTAGGTGCTTTTGCCATTTAATTTTATTTTTGACATTGTTTAATTAAAGAGTTATTT